AATATCGTCGAAAATAAAATAAAATTGTAGTATGTTCTAAAGAAAACGGTTTGACTAATCGTCGACAAACTTATAATAATACTTGTGCAATATATCTTATATATAAAAATAAAGCTCTCGATAAAATGATCCGCTAAAACTCGAAAACGGCTAAACCGATTTGGCCAGTCTTAGTCTTGAAAAATTTGTGCTAATCAGTAGGTTGTCAAAAAGGTGAGATATTATCTCAAAATCGGGTAGAAACTTTACCGTTTTTAATCCAAAATGTTTTGTAGAAGCGTAATTTGAATAAAACAATGAACGGTGGCTAATACGTAAAATGTCAAACGTTTTTGAGAGATGGTGTTCAATTACTTTCAATAGGATGTTTTACGTAAATATTATTTAATCATGTTTAAGTTGTAGTAAGTAGTTTTGTTTGTCCGCAAGTGTTACTAACATGAAACTCAAAATATCAACTTTTTTTAAATGTTAATATGAAAATGCACCTTTTGGCATATTTTTCTCAAACACGGTGCTCTGAAAGATCTCATTTGTAAAATTATTTACTCATTGGTATTTATAAAACATTTTCCATGTTATATTATTTTTTATTTATGTTATTTAAATTCAGAACCTAAATTTGGTATCGATCAGAGGGACATTTTGTCAAATGATATTTTCCCACTTATAATTTCCCAGAATTTGTCGAAGAATAGATAATGATAGATGAAGGTCCGGGATTAAAAAGGTCCACCATCGATGTGTCAAAAACCAGTAAAGTTAAGCATTGCTTAACAACAATATCTGAAACTAGAGGGAAAATGATGTATAACTAACCTTGATTCTTATAACTTTCAGTGGCGGATTAAGCTCTCTGGTGCCCTAGGCCCTATCCGTTCAGGCGCCCTTTTTAATAGACAAAATTTTACTTTTTTAATCAAACTTTTTTTAAAATTATTCAGATATAATTTTTAACTTTGCATAGGGTATATTATATTATTCGCAAATGAATCTAAAATGATATTTTTTTCTTATCTTCACATTTCAAGGCCTTCTGAACATTTTGGTATACGTCAAAATGTGTATGTGTGTATATGTTCAATTTCCATTGATTTTGATTAGTTTTTCGCAAAAGCTGGTAGAGCCGTTTTGAACATACGAAGCAAAAAGTGCAAATAAAATTCAAAACCTTACGCCCTGAATCTTTTCCTTATGTCGTATTTTTGTAGATGGTAACCCGACTGTTGATCCTTCCATATTTGATTTCTTCATTATTAGAATTATTTACTAGGGTTGACTCATTAACTTCCCGAAGGAGCACTTTGTTTGAAAATTTAGAGTTTTTTTTTGCAAAGCAATGTTAACAGAATTTGCACTTAATATTAATATTAATAGAAGTATATGGTAATTTGATGTGCGGATGCCGAATGATCATTTTTCACCACCAGGTGTTGTTTTTAAAACATGTTTTTGGATCTTAATAATCGCTGAACTTGCCTTCCCAAAAATTGGTTAATTCTTCATTTCGCCAATGTGAGTAAAATGATTTGGAATCATTCAAATCGGTCGCTCCGTTCTCTCAGAAACCAAATTTCCATTTTTATGCACTTTTTGTCCCGTATCTTTGAAATGGCTAATCCTGCCTTTGCCAAATACTAAACGTCTCCCTATCAGTAAGAATCGAATGCTTCTTGAATCATGCAAATCGGTTAATCTCTTGAAACCGTGGACAAAAATTAGTATTCGTCCTAATTACTTACATACATATTACCTAAATCCAAACGCACGCACACACAAACATCTATTTTTTGAACCTTTGAAACGTAAAGATATGCAAAAAATATTTTAATTTTTTTGCGACTACTATAACTTACCCCGCGAGAAGTTGAAAATAAAAACAAAGTTTGGACTGATTATTAAAATTTTTGTAAAAAAAACTGCACGCTCACCTTACCATCACAAAAATTTAGTCAATTCATTTTGTGTTTTGAGTTTTTCAATCGGATAGAAAATAGGGCTTACTAAAAAATTGTTGTTGTCATTTTTCATCATTTTGCGCCCTATTCCGAAATGGATAACCTTGTCATTACCAAAAACTAATCAGCACATCTTCCCGACAATTGAATCTTTCAATCGGTTGATTCGTCTCAAAAGCGTCGACAAAAAATTGTAACCGCAAATACACATGCATGTTCCTAAGATATGCCAAAATATTCAAAAGGTTTTGAAACAAAAATATTTATCCACAAGTGGTTTACGTTTCGTTTTTCGAATGACTATAACTTACCTGTGGAGGAAATGCCAATTGGTGGTCTAAAATGATCAATAAACCTAAGCACACCAAATTGTCAGATATTTTAGTTTTGGTTCAGTTTTAAATAAATAGATATTTTAGTTTTGGTTCAATTTAAATAAAAACAAAATTATATACGAACCAAAAAATAATTAATTTATCACAAAATAACAATTAATATATTATGTTAATTTCTAAAATAACATAAGAAACCATTTAAAACCATTTTAAAGCGTTTTCTTTGTAAGATTCACCTTAACAAAGTTACAAAAAATAAACAGAGCTTAAATTTTTCTCCAAAAAAGCTTCAAACATGATACATCAATAAAAATATTAATGAGGCGCCCTCGAATAAGTTTGATATAGAAAACGAATAACATCAATTTCATAAAAAAATTATCTAGATCAGGATCAATACTTAAAATCAATCGCCGTGATTTTTCAGATTTAAAATTTTGACATTCTGAAAAATTTGCCGCCCCCCAAATTGTGTCGCCCTAGGCGATTGGATTATACCATGTTCTCTATAGAAAGTGTATAAAACTTCCAGTTGACAAAATATAGACAAACTAATGGGGTTTATTGTTTTTATAATACCTCATTGTATTATATAATAGCATTCCTTATACACTTAAAGTATTAATATTTTTAATTCTGTAGAAATTGTTTAGATTCTAAACATTAGAATGTACCTTTTACTTACCAAAACAACGTTTGCCGGGTCAGCTAGTAAGTAATATATATTTAAGTATATATAAATATAATTATTATTATACACATACATATATCTTGTGTTTTATTAAAAATGTTTTACAAGAAATGTTCCATACAGAATTGATGAAGAAGCGCGGCGAGCAGTGCTGCTGCTACTCGTTGCAAATCAGAGACGACTTACACGGGCGTTATATGAACGCGAGCGTGTACTTGGTTAGATTTTTTCTACTTTTGAATGTGTTCTATCACATGAAATAAAACAAAATTTTGGACAGTAAAAGAAAATGGAACAGCTCTTCCAATGATGCCAATTAAAAATTAGTCCCAACAACCGCACCACCCAAAAAATTCAAACAAAAAAATATTTTCACTTTTTCATGCACTAAGAAATGAATATTAAATAATATTTGTTATTAACATTATAGTACATACCGATGTGAATAGAACAGCGCTATTTGTTTATCGATATCTTTTACAGTTGCGACAAAATTTGGATTTAAAATTTGGTATATCAAATTTTCTCGAAAATACTTGTTAAGGATTTTTTTGAATTATTTTATTATTATTAGTATTAAAAGTTCATTTTTTACGTATTTTTGATCATTGAAATTTACTTTAAATGAACACAGGATGCAGCTGCAAATAACATAATTTTTCCATAGCTTAAGTAAATACGCCGCATCCCTTTTTATATTTTTATTATTAAGAAATTGTATCAAATTGTAGGATTATAGAAGAATCCCAAATTTTATAGTAGTATTATGTATAATTGTAAACTGCCATCCCCTCCATGTTATATATTATGTGTTATATATAATTCTTATATTATATTTTTAAATTTATAGTAATCAGTATTATTTTAATCGCGATACTAGGCAGATGTTAAGCCTAGCGCGTATTAGTTACTCAATTATTTTAATAAACTTTTTATATTTCTATGTCTATTGCCCTCTTTTCATCTTCTAATAATTACTGTGCACACCAGTTTTTAAGAGTGTACTAACTAATAATCTTTAAAGTGATAACGGCAAAGGCAGGTGTAAGGTGCGTTTTCAAGCCTTAACAATACCTATAAAACGGCATCAAAATTATTTAAATACCAAGGTGGGGCCAATTCTGTATGGAAACACGCCCATACCCTGTGGTCCCATTCAATTCAGAATGGCCTGAATGTCGAGAAAACATAAAATTAGCAAATCTGATTCTTGACACATACCAGTTAATTTTATTAACTTCCCGTGAGTAAGTTATAGTAATGAGCCAAAAATCGAAAATGAAAGTTTCTGCATTTTTCGCGGTTTAAAGGTTTCTGAACGTTTTGGCATATCTCAGAAAAAATTGATGTGTGTGTACGCGTGCGTGTTATTGAACGCGCCGTTCAACCGACTGACAAAACAATTGCTTTTGAAAAAAGGTGTTTCTCCTTTTTTTTAATTTCCAAAAAATTTTCAATATCGAAAATTATTCGGATTTTAATTTTATTCTAGCTAAAGTTATAAAACTCACTTACATACTTTGAATAATTTTAACTTAGCTATTTAGTTTAAATGATCTTATAAATATTAGACATTGTCCTTCATTTTAAATTTGATTGATTGAGTTTTTCGAGATATATGTTCTCGACATTTTTGATAGCATAAAGTAACCGACACTTAATGGATAGTTCGTGCAAAAGGCCGTTTCGGAGAAACCGAGCAATAACTGCAAAGTAATCCAAAAACATTTTGCTTGTGTGGTGAAAAAAAGTTATTTGTTTTCGGCTTCACAAAAAAAGATGTATCAAAATTATGTCTCCTGGTAGGCAAACTCATATTTAAATGAATGCAACAAGATTTTATAAAAATCTTAATAATTAACTATTTGAAAATGTTTAAAACAATTGTTAAAAATTATTGATTGCTCCAATATTTAGTCACTGTACAGAAAATTCCAGCAATTTGCCCTAAGATATGATGATAACTTTTACTTTAGGTATTATTTAAATAAATTAATTAATTCAAAATACACTTACACTGAAGCCAGTAACTCATTATCTGCGTTGTCAGAAACAATATGCTGCAAGGGTCGGAATAGACTCTCACGAGTTTGACATGCTATATCACACGTGTCGGGTAGCTCCATATCATCTACGTCATGGTCATCGGTTCCAGCTTCGAATCGATTTTTAGCAATTTGCGGATACGGATTTCTGGAATATGCATCAATTTTGTTATTTTGTTATTATCTATTATTAACGTTTCAATATCTTAGTTGCTAATTATTGTTAAATAATCATCTAAAATGTTGGAAAATTGAGTATGGTATATGCATAAATCATTCAATCCATTTCAAATCCAACACTTTTATTGCAAGGCGCAACAATATAATTTGATACCATATTTTTTCATAGAGATATCGATTGCAATTTATATCATGTTTTATAACATATTGGTTTATAACTAAAAAAATGTTGTATCTTTAGATTTTTATATACAATTTTACGTTTTTGTTTGATAAAATTGCTCTTTGAAACAATAAGAAAATCTTTCGAACTAGAGATTATACAATAATCAATCGATAATTTGACGCCATGTATAAGTATAAGAATTGTTTTGGAAAAATTTTGATCGAAAAACATTCACAAAAAAGACGATGGTTGCTCAATTATTCGAGCTGGAAAAAAATTATTGGACTACCAAAATGACTATTAGGTATAGGGATTAGTGGAAGGAGTGTTATAATTTAGAGAATGTGTTTTTTATTTTTGCATTTGAAAAAGTGATCCCAAATTTTAGAAAAAAGTGTTAGAGTTTTTGGAAGTAAAATTTAAGTATTTCCAAAAATTCAAAAAAATCTAAATTAAAATTTAGTACAAAACATTTACAATTTGAAATACTGATTGAAAATTATTAAATTACTAAAATGACTATTACGTAATGCCATTTGAGGTAGGGTAGGATATATTAATGAAAACTAAAACTGGTGGTGCATGGCATAGTGCTTCAATGCAAATTTCATTGAATATTCGAGCAAAAAAATAAATAATCAATGAATATCGATCAATGATTAATATTTATTTATTTATTTATAAGCAAGCCGTAATCAATAATAATGAATATTATTTCACGCTCTTGTCAAGCTTATTCATAATTAATATTCGAAGCAAAAAAATTAAAATATTCTTACTAGCTGCACGATGTTCGCTTCTGAAAAAAAGAGCTGCAACAAAACATTCGAACATTAAATACAATGTTTATCATCAAGTTCATCATATTAAAGTCTATTAGACCACTAGTCAAGCCCAAAATTCTAGCACAAGGTTGAAAGTTATACTGATTTAAAACTATAAAAAATTCAATTAAAAATAGCAATAAGAAACTAGGGAAGTCATATAGATACATTTATCATAAATAAACATAAAAAAACAATATTTGTACAGGAGATCAAATGGTCAGACTACATAGATAAAGAATAAGGATTACGCAAGAAAATAGTTATTGAAATCAAATTGAGAAAAATCTGTAATGTCATAAAAAGCTAATTCTTTAAAAAGTTTTTGGATATTGTGTTTTTCTTTTAATTTTATTTATTTATAATGAACAATCAGAATACAGATTCTATAAGCTAATGTGTGATGTATACACAAAATAAAAATTAAATAAAGTGATTAAAATAAACAAATAATAAAGATACAAAAATAAAGATTATAAATAAATACAAGAATATGATTATAAGCAAATTAGGAATAATAAGTACGTTAGGATTGCCTCCATTGAGTTAATCCTAAGTGAAGAAAGTCAGACAGAGATTACATGGTCATTTTGGCGGGCATTTTTCTTTTAAGTCATCGGTTTGTATTTTCTTTCACAAGTGGTTTTAGTAATTTATTGGTATGTGTTGCAATTTTGTTAATATGTGTGCAGACTTTATCCTTAGTGACGTCTTTTATATATGGTATTTTTAGGTCGCTATGTATCATATGATTACTTACAAACCATAGAGCGTCGAATAGAGTTCTGAGAATTTTATTTTGCATTTTATCTGTATTTTAGCTATATGTGATTTGCTAGCGCATCTTCACAGCTCTATGCCGTAGGCTTACGCCGGTTTCAGCACTGCATTGTAGATTAAAACTTTATTATACAGTGAAAGTTTTGACTTTCTGCCTAAAAGCCAATTTAGCTGTTGCATTTTTAGTTATATTTGCTGTATTTTATTGTTTATATGGAATCTCCAGGTGAGCTTGGAATCTAAGTGCAGGCCTAGATACTTAATCACGTTGTTTTCGGGAATTTCGTCACCGTCAAGCGTTACTTTTGGACAGCTTTTTTTCCTGAGCGTGAATGTTATATGTTGTGATTTTGTTTGATTTATTTTTATTTTCCAGTTTTTATACCATTCATTTATTTCATCAAGATGATATTGCAGTTTAAAAGATGCATCGGATGGATCTTGTGAAATTGCCAAAATAGCAATATCGTCCGCAAACGTGCAGCAGGTGGTGTTTCTTAATGTGAGGAAGTCATTGCTATAAATAATGTAAATGAATGGCACCAAAACACTTCCCTGTGGGATTCCTGTTTTCATTACTTCCGGCTCAGTTGCAGTATCGCCAACCTTGACTTGAAATTTTCTCCGAGTAAGGTAAGACTAAAAAAACATCTTGTACGCTGGCAATAAATTTCCGATTGTGTAAAGAAGGCCTTTATGTCAAACTTTATCAAATGCTTGGCTCACGTCTAAGAAAGCAGCAGAGCAGTATTTGCTGCCTTCAAAACCTTTATTAATAGTGTCCACTATTCGATGACACTGTTGCGTAGTTGTGTGTCCGCTGCGAAAGCCAAATTGGTGGTCAGGAATTAGGTTAGTAGTCCTTGCGATGTTTGCTAGCAAAGGCTTTTGAATATTTTAGATGTTGTTGGGAGCAGACTTATTGGTCTATATGAATTGACTTTGTTCCGATCTTTTCCTACCTTTGGGATCATTTTGACCGTAGAGGTTTTGAATAATATCGGCCAATAATTGAGTCTAAAAATTGCATTAAAGATGTAGGTAAGTAAAATAAATCCTTCTCTATGGAGTTTTTTAAGCATTATGCTTGAAATTAAATCTATACCTACAGCTTTTTTGTTTTTAAGACGTTTAATTTCATTATAAACACATTTCACGGTGAAGAATCTAGTTTTGTTATGGTCTGAGGTTGTGTTTTCAGAATTAGAAGTATTAAAATTTGACTTGATATTATTAAACGAAAAGCCAGATGATAGATAAATAGCAAACAGGTTTGCTTTTTCAGAGTCACTTCTTGCCCAAGAATCGGAAGCATTTAATCTTATTGGCGGGCGTTTAGTTGCAGGTTTTCTTCTGTTAGATAGTGGCTTCCATAAGCTGTTATCAAATCTATTCAATCTGGAAACATAGTTAGTAAAGTTAGTATTGTTTATTTCACTAAATTTAGTTCTCAATAAGTTATTCATTCTATTTAGTAGAGACTCATCCTGTGGCGAGTGAGTGGTTTACCATCTTTTCCTAATCCTACGTTTCTCAGCTATGAGTTTCCTAATCACTAGCGTTATATAGGATCCTTTATTGGTGACGAAATTTTGCGGAGTACAAACTTTGACTGCATTGTGCAAAATTTGTTGAAAGTTGTTCAATGTGCCTTCAATATCGCTTGAGCATTTTAGAGGCATTTTAAAGTAAAGTCCTTGTATAACACCCAGTCCGTTTTATGATTATGAAGTTGGCAACTTGTTAGTGTTTGATTTAAATTTGAACTCACAGATACAATGACTGGAGAGTGGTCCGAGTTTAGGTCGTAATTTGAATGACCTTCGATGCATTTATTGTCAATGCCGCCTGAAATGAAAAAATCGAGTAAGTCAGGTATTCTCGCCGGATCACTTGGTCAATAGGAAGGATTACCTATGGATACTGTAACAAAGTTGAGATGTTGAGTTACAAAATTAAGTTTTTTTTCTTTTGGGTTAGAAATACGAGATCCCCAATTTGGGTGTTTACTATTAAAGTCGCCTCCTGCTAAAAATTTGGGCCGAAATGTGTTAAAGAATTCTTGAAACTGCTCCCTTTTGATATTATGGCTTGGAGGACAATATACAGCGGAGATAGTCAACTCATATGGCAATGTTTGAACTTTTACAGAAGTCGCTTGAATATAATCTCTGTTGAACTGGTCCATTTCATAATGCGAAATATTATTTTTAATAATAACGGCTGTATCACCCTGTGGTTTTCCGTTTGGGTGCGGAGTGTGGTAAATGGTGTAAAAAGGAATTTTTTTTTTTTTTTTTTTGTTACAATTTATTTTTGTTAATCAAGACTTTAATGTCTTATTTACAAAATTGATATGAGCAAAAAAAAAAAAATACAAAAAAATAAAAAATGCAATACATTGAACATAAAATGAAAAAAGTTAAAATAAAAATTTAATTAAAACAGTAATACAAAAATAATAACATAAATGAACGATGACGTGATGATGTATGCCGCGTACTACGTCAGGACGCGTGCAGACATTGGGCTAAGTGTTTGGTAGATCGGAAGGCCATTTCTTGCTCAATCTTCTTATCGGTCTCTGAATCGCTTGAATTGTAGGATTTGTATGCTGGATCAATTTGTTGTTGAAAGATGAACTTCTAATCTTGATCATTTCGTTGACTGTTGAGATTTTCAAATCCTTATGTAGGCAAAAATTCGAAATATACCAAGGCGCATTAGTAAGGATACGCAGAATTTTATTCTGGCACCTTTGAATGATGTTTATGTTAGATTTGCATGAGCAACCCCATAGTTCGATTCCATAAGTCCAAATGGGCACTATGATAGTTTTATAAAAAAGTACCTTGTTATCGAGAGAGATTTCAGATTTCCTCCCAAAAAGCCAGTAAAAATCTTTTATTTTCAGTTGGATTTGTTTCTTTTTATATTCAATGTGCGTTCTCCATGGCAATTTCGAATCAATGTGCATGCCTAAATATTTAACAGAATTGCATAGTGGAATTATTGAATTGTTCATGATGATAGGTGGACTGTTGTGATGTTTTAGAGAAACAATTATGTGCTGAGATTTTTCGATATTGATTTTGATATTCCAATCTAAAAACCATTTTTCGAGACTAGATAAATAATTTTGTAAATGACAAGTTGCTGTTCTAATATCGGAATTGCATGAAATAATTGCTATGTCAT